TTTTTCTTCTCTGAGACAAGGCCAGAGCGGACCTGCTAGAGAGGGGGGGGGGGGATACGAGCAGCCTATCCTATTGTAATTTCATAGTCTTGAAATTTATTACCTCCGTTGCTTTACCTTGGTCCCTGTTGGACACACCATCCCCATTCTCCTGGGTCTGCTTCTAGTTTTTTCTAAGTCTTGGACTGGCCTGTATAGGATTATCATTGTTTGGCTGTGATCTCATCTGTTGCCGGTCTGTTCTTGATGTATTTGTTTCCAAAGTTGTGATTTTTCTTAGATCTTGTGTGTCAAGCTCCAGGGTTATGTTAAGCATTTTCTTACCAATTCTGTTATCGTTTGTGTTTGTCCCGTATTTCATGAACTCCAGGGTGAACTGTTGATGAACTTGAGGGTCATTCAATCTCTTACCTCCCATTTGGTTTCTCCGTGAAGCCTTCCTGTCCATTCCCTTGTCGTCAGTTCATCTTTTCCCTCCGATTGATTATCTGCAGATGCGGTCGATGCCTCCCTCTTGTTCTTACGTTTTCAAGTCCCCCAAAGGAGTCCAACCCGGATTTGAATACAATTCAGCGAAGGTGCTCGATGGATGTCCCCTGAAACTTGTGATGAAAATGATACTGAATTAACTCTTGGACTGCCAGCATTCATCCTTGTGGTAAGGTTCGACGTCATCATTTGGTACATTGCAAGCATTTCCGCGCTTGGTGTTTATTTAAATAGGAGAGATACGTTTTGAGCTCCCTTCTCGTGGACAGCTGGATCTCTGCGTGAAAAGCATTGCAGGCAGCAGCGTCAACCAACATCCTTTGAAAGGTCCGAGGTCATGTACATCCACTCGAACAGCCTTGAGCTCAGCAGTCCCTCAAACATGAAAGCAGTCTGAAAACGGAATTCGCAATGCACGCTGATGTTTCATCGCAACGGACTGCGGTTTCCGTGCATTTGAGAGGCTATGCTCCTTTCGGTTCCCATTTATGTGCTTTGTGTTTCTTGCAGCTGTTGTGCCTTGTACAAGTTTTTAATCTGTTTGAAAACACTAATGACCTCCCTTTGCGTGAATCCATCTGACTGGTTGACTTGTCTTGCCATTGTACAGGCTGTACGCTCACAAGGGCAGGCAGTATTACGAGAACTGTGAAGTCTATGGCAGCGTCGATTTTATCTTCGGAAATGCCGCTGCGCTCTTTGAGAACTGCTCAATCTTTGTCCGTGGCACAGGCTGGGTGACGGCTCAGAGTCGTAAGTTCCCGGAGAACAGAACAGGATTCGTATTTAATGGGGGCAGTATCACACGTGCTGTGGACGGAGACGTGAGTATTGGATCGTTGCTGGGTCGCCCATGGGGTTATTTCTCCCTCGTACTGTTTGCAAATACGTTCATGGACTACTTCATTCTCGGAGAAGGTTGGGGACGTTGGCTTGGACGAGAGAAGCACTCCATCTATGGAGAATTCAACACATCGGGCCCGGGTTCTGTTGCTGGGAATGGTACCTTCCGAGTGCCATTTGCCTGGAACTTCAGCGAGGCGGAGGTGCGGCCGCTCCTCGGCGAGCCTGGTCGACGACCGGGGTTCGACTTCATCATGGCAGATGAGTGGATGGAAGTTCCGCCCAACATCCCTCCTCCTCCCCCGCCAAGCGATTCCATGCCGTCGTCTTTGCCGAACATATCTATGGTGGAAAACAGCAGCGCAGGTCCACCCTGGCAATCAAGCCCCGGGGGTCCACCTCTGGGTTCGATCCAGCCGGTTCAGCCGAGCTCACCCTGGGAAGCGCATGAATCAAGTGCAGGTGGTCCGCCTCCATTTTCAACCCAGACTGTTCAGCCGAGCTCGCCCTGGGAAGCGTATGAATCAAGCCCCGGTGGTCCACCCCCGGTTCCAACCCAGGGTTCAGCCCAGACTATCCAGCCGAGCTCGCCCTTGGTAGCAAATGAATCGAGCTCCGGTGGTCCACCCCCTGTTCCAACCGAGGGTTCAGCCCAGACTATCCAGCCGAGCTCGCCCGTGGTAGCAAATGAATCGAGCTCCGGTGGTCCACCCTCGGTTCCAACCGAGGGCTCAGCCCAGACTATCCAGCCGAGCTCGCCCGTGGTAGCAAATGAATCGAGCTCCGGTGGTCCGGCTCCATATTCAACGCAGAGTGTTCAGCCGAGCTCGCCCTGGGAAGCGTATGACTCGAGCCCTGGTGGTCCCCCCCCGGTTCCAATCCAGACTGTTCAGCCTAGCTCAGGGGGAGGCAATCAGCCGTTAGCCGTTGGAAGCGAACCGCAATCGGGACCAGGATCTGAAGCTGCATCTGATGCTGGAGGTGGTGCTGTTCCGTCCTCTGTAGAACAAGCTGTACCGTCATCGTCTATAGGGCAAAACCAAGAGCCAGCAGCCTACATGACACCTGCTGTGTCATCTGACATGATGCCTGGCCCAGGTAGCCCGGGTGGCGGACAGCTGACGGTTACTCATAGAGGAAGGAAGGACTAGCCATCCACGCAGAGGCATCCTCGGTGCACAGAGTGATTGCAGGCAGGCTTGCTACCCTGTTGCATGTCTCCATGGCTGGGAGAAAGAAGCCAGGTGAGAGTGCTGGCACGTCTGTTTCCCGTTTTTCCCCCATGCACTCAAACGAAGAAAATATATATTTTCCATGATGTTATTGCGTGGGTTCCCCAACAATGGGAGAGTAGGACACATCTGCATTTCACTCTTTTAGTTTCACGACAGTGGAATAAGGCGGGCAAGGAGCAGAGTAAAACAGGAGTACTTCAGGATTCCCCAACAATGGGTGAGTAGGACACATCTGCATTTCACTCTTCGGTTTCACGACAATGGAATAAGGCAGGCAAGGAGCAGAGTGGAACAGGAGTACATGATGGTGACGCGTGATGATGGCTGACAGGCTCTTCCCGTGCAAGTCGAAAGCTCCATTGACCTTGTGATGAAATAAGGGCGGGAATAAAGATCACCCTCGGTTCACTCTTTCCTGTTCTTTCAGCAACAGATGACAAGATGGCAACGTTTGTCTGCATCCTCCCCTGGCCTTGCTTCTGATAGGGGGTTTCTTGAAGTCTGTTGTAGATTGACTTCAAGTCTTTCTCAATCGAGCGTAATAAATCTTCCATAAGAGATGAAAAGCAGGTATCGCTCACCTGCCCGTTGCATGCGTTTCAGTCCACGAGGGGAATATCAAGCTCAGCTCTGCATAACCGCACATTGACGAGTGCGGTGTGCTGTCAAGTCATCTGATCGCCTGGTAAGAAGGTATGGTCTGTAGAACGTGTCCGGATGGATGGATATGATATGTACTCTATATAATTGCCTGATCAGTGGGTATAGCACCTGGTCAATTGCTGCATGTAATGAGCCCTGCGTTGCACTTGGTGTCGTCTCTACTTGCTGCTAGCTTGACCCTCCAAGGTCCAATTGGTGCATATAAAACGATAGATGGTTATGTTGTTAGGAATTGGACCATCCAGGTGAACCCCTGTGTATCAGTGTGTAACAACAATGTGATAAGCGGGGGCCGCTGCGTTGCACTTGGTGTCGTCTACTTGCTGCTAGCTTGACCCTCCAAGGTCCAACTTCATTCTGGTTTGTTTTGTAGCTGCATCACATTCAGACATCCTTGTAAGCCAAGTAGTTGAGATTAGGGATCGCTACTGCCTCTGTGTGAAAGCTTCGGATAAAGATATTTCGAATGTTCGATAGATATATGGTTTCTCTTTCGCACGCAAACTGCCATGGCATCCACTTCTGTAAACGAGGAGGGGACGTTGGGGGGAAGGGGGGGGAGGAG